CTTTGATCAAAAGAGGTATAATATCAAATCTTAGGCTGACATCAGGGTCATTAATATTAACACCCTCGTTGGAAGATTTTATCCTCAGATCAATAGGTAGAGACGTACCACCAAGACCACCTAAAGAAGTTAAGAAGTTGAGGTTAGAAATATATTATAAGATTGTGATTAAAAATATCAACTTATACGTACCTCGTCGAGGCAGATAGCCAAGGTTTGCAATGCCATGAGATACATCAGCGCTTCTTTTATCTAGTACAGAGATAAAGGTGATTATAATACATTATATATAGGAAGCAGAATAGCGAAATTATCTTTGTTTGAGAGGTAAAACATTGGGAGACACTTACCAGTTGTGGTGGGTGGTTGTACGATAATACGAATGCTAGTACTAGTGGGTATCGGACGAAAATAGTCTCCAACAGTTTTGAATGGAGATATCATTATACCTTGGTATTGTTCTTTGATGTTTTCGGAGTACATTACCGTGTCCTTGTTTTCTCTAGTGATAGGAATATTCACACTCCATAGCTTCAGTTCGTTGGCGTCAACACTAGCAAAGGTATTTTCCTTCTCTTTCTTGATGAGTTTCTTGAGACGTCCAACGGTAGTGTCTTCATTAACATCAACCGGGAAAGAATAACTAATGGCATCACCTAAAACGATGCAAAAAATCTGGAAACTCATCAAAAATTATTTATAATTTGTAGAATTTTAAATACCATGATTTCTCCGGTATCAGATAACATTATATACTGTATATAAATTACGAAGTCCCAAAAATGGTTGGTGTTTAAAATAAAAAAATGTTTCGGTTCCTGGCACGTAATCTGGAGTATTTATAATTTCCGTGTGATTAGTGAGGTTAGTAATTTCATAAACAATAATGATAAATACATAAGGCTTAGGCTGTACTCCGACCTACCGAAAAAACTATGTATGAGACTAATAGCAAATATCGAATTATGTGCACTTCGCAAGCAAAAAAAATTAAAAGCATTCTTATCATATTACAATATGAAGGAAAATAAAAATTCCGCAATTAACTGAGTGAAACTACACGTACTATTTTTTTTACATTCGTAGTCAAACATATAACCTCATTATTTCAGCCAATAGTAACAAAATCACGTTCCGTTAACCAGGTGACCGCCAGCGATGATATTCGAAGAAGAGGCCAAGGCTCTCGAAACCCCACCAAAACGTTCATTCTTGTCATACCTCAATCTGGAATGAAGTCTTAACGAAATATGGAGTCTGAGACAATAATATATTAAAAATCTCAGTTCACCCACCAAATTAACGAAGACGGTCCAGCATTTAAATTTTACATTGATAAAAAATATGGTCCAGTCGTAAATAACTGAGACTGTGTTGTGAATACATTTCGATAATCTTATATGTCTTCTACTGTCTCTGACGGTGAGAGCAATCAAAAAAATAATTAAAAAGAGGGGTACGATAACGCGGTACACATCGTGTTACGTAATTAGTGTGCTTATAGGGAAAGTAATGGTGGAAAAATTAGAATAGAGTATCTTATGTAATCATGCGGCGCAAAGTGATTAGCATGTAAACAAATATAACCATCGAACGAAGAGAGATAAAGGTAATTAGCATTTACTCGAAACGCACTTTAAAACGTCTAAACCCTTACCTGTGTTAACCATTTCTGTCGTTGTTTACACGCCCATAACTTGCTCATGTGAATATACGAACCAGAGTTTGACTAGAAAGATTGGGAAAGTTCTAGCAACTATAAAAGTTTGAGTATAGGACATAAGGTGTAAAATTAGGAAGCGAAACAAAGTCGGTCAAATCATGACACGCCTCAAGAGTTTAAACCCAACGTTATGCAAGTTTACCAATCATTGGCAACAGACTTGCCGGTTAGCCTATAACAATATGTTGGAGAAAATTATATGTATAAGGCTCAAAATCTCATGCAATATAAAAGTTTGTGCGAGGTGAGTATTGATGTTTCGAAACCTTTGGTTTTTCCCACTACTGCCATTAATTTTAACATAATTTGTCAATTTCATCAGGATCTGAAGGACTGTTGTAATATTTTTTGTGTTATATGCCCACTTGGAAATTTTGAGGGTCTAATTTTTTATAAAACACATTAATCGAAGGTACAAATTTGAATCTTTTTTTGTTAATTACACTTTGACTGGGTTGATAGTATGAGCAATTACCAAAATATCCTTCACCAATGCTAAATTCTAGAGATAATGAGATAAAACTAAAAAATCATAGAAGAACGAATATAGGTATGTATAGGCGAGATAAAGCTTATATCTATTGCAAAGCAATGAGTTTTGCCCTAGATATAGTCAAGAACTGATATTTATTTTCCATTTATAGATTTGAAACGCACAAGAAAAGCTTACCAGCATGGTATAAAAAATAACATTTTCATGATGGATTTAAATGCAAAATTCATAATCATTCTGTATTAAGCAATAAAAATTTATTTTGTAAATATATTAATAAGATTTTAATATAAATACTGTATATCAATTGTGTTTATTTTTTCTTGGCATTTTTTGACAAACCAAACTAATATTAAACTAGTATCAAAATAATATTGATTTATAATAAATTTAATATATAGGTTGTGATTAAAGATTCTAATGATTTGATTTGATTCTTGATTCACAGGTTTATATTAAATTTAATATGTGGGTTATAATCTATCATTATTTTTAATAGTGTTTTGAATCTTATATTATAATGAAGATCAAAATCATGTGACTTTGGATTTTTGAAAATATCTGTATCTTATATAAAACAATGATAAATACAGAATCCAAAATTAATTCATTAAAAGAATTAAATTTGAAGTTTTTGGTTAAGATTTGAATTTAGAAAAAAGTATTCAAAAATCAAAACTCAAAATATAAGATTAAAACAAATTTTAGAAAAAAATAACAAGTGCAATATTAAAGTTGAGGAACTAGAACAAAAAAATAAAAAGCTTAAAACTAGACTTTTCTATAGCATATTATAATAGAAAAAAAAAAGAAAAAAAGTATTTCTATAAAAAATGTTTTACAATATTTAATAAATTCTAATAATACTTTGATATCTAATATGCCTAATAATATTTCAAATTCTAGTATTATTTCAAAAAATAGCCTTTATATAGTATCTGATTCTAATATAATACCAGAAAAAGAATAGTTAATTTTTCATATTTTCTATTATTATAAAAAACTATATTATTAAAAACAATTTTTTTTTAATAATTTTCTGGATAGCATATACTGTATATAAAAACAGTTAATAAAAAAATAAGAGAAAAAAATTGAAAAAGAAAATTTTAATAAAAAACAACAATTCAAAAATTGTCAGATAATAAAAAAACCACTTTCTCTAGAAATAATAATCAAAATTCAAATTTGTTATATGATGCCAGAAGTCTATATTCAAAAATAATATAGTGTGATTTTAAAATCTATTAACTTCTTAAAAAGAATTTTTTAAATAAAAATAAACCAGTAACTTTGTTTATTAAGACCTATTCTATAAAATTACCAGTTAAAATTTTAAAAAAACTTATTAATAAAAAGTTATAAGTGTTTTAAATTTGTGTACTTTCAAGTATTTTATTATGTTTTCACCAAAATTGAAACAAATTCATATCATATGACTTCAATTTGATTGGTTAATTTTAATAAATTTATATTGTATACATTTAATTGAAAATCTAATTAATCATCTTAATGGTACCCATACAAAGTAACTGAAGCAGATAAGTAATTTGCCAAGAAAGAAGAATTGATATGTTTCTCAAAAAGAACATCAAATTGTTGTGAAGACTACCATCAACACTATAATCAATGAGAAATACCAAGTTGTCGCAAAAAAAGCTGTTATCATTGAAAAAGCTGTTGTCACAGAAGGAGCTGTTGTCACTGGAAGAGCTGTTGTCACTAACAATAAAAATTAAATTAACATGGGACTAACTACTGTGATCAATAATGAACATCGAATTACTGTAGGAATAGTTGTAGCCACAAAAATAGTTGTGGGTATCAATAATAAAAACCAAACTATTGCAAAAACAATCATTGATACCACTAACCCATATAATGAAGGAGACTTTTATATTACAGAGACAGTCACTAATATTTAAAAAGTTTTTGAAGAATGAATGAATAAAGACTTAAAAAAATTTGAAGATATAGGAAAAAGGTTTCTCATCTGGAATAATAATGCTGGAAGTAATCTTAGAATCACATATACCGAAAACTCGAGAACAACATTGTGGAAATGGGATAAAAAAAAAAAGTATACAGAACATATTAAAGAAATAAAACCAATTAATATGTTTTTTCAAACAGCTTTACCTACACAGCATCTTCGTTTATTACATCCTTGCCCATCACGTTCTCGCCTATCACATTATTGTCCATTTTTATTATTATCCACTCGTCATGAGGAACTTAACCAACAATGTTCAATAGAAAATCTATAAAAGAAAACAATAAAATCTTCACATATGACTATTTATGCTGTTACACTTGATCTTCGCCCAAGATCATCACTACCCCTTGTCTGATTTTCACTAGCATTTACCCTTGAAATGTTACCCATTCTAGAATAATTCTTGTATTACTATTCTTGTTATTGTTTA